TCAGTTTTATTTTGTCTACGTCTTCACTTTTCAAATGTGATTTGTATAAGCAACAGATTGTAGGGTTTTGTTTTCTCATCCAATCTGTCACTCTTTTCCATTTTATTGGGTTATTTAATCCATTCCCATTTAAAGTTATGAGAATTATGTTTATATTTTTCTCCATTTGTCTCTAACATTGGAGGTTTTTCTTTCAAATTATGATTTTTTCCTCTTCTATTGTAAAAACAGTACTATATTTCCTTTAGTTACTTTAGCTTATTGTTTTTTAAGGCAGCTCTATTCCCAATGTCTCTCTTTCCCCTTCCCTCCAATCTCTTCTTCTCCCATTAGTTATCTCTTTCCTTTTGGGTTTTTTGCTTTATTAGATCCTTTTTCTTTCCTTGGTTTATCTGGTTATTTCACTCTTTTCCCTTTTTTCCTTCTCATTCAAATAGATTCTCCCCTCTCTTCTCCCCTTCAACTAGTCCTGCTCATTAATTTTTTAAATTTTATTTTTGTGCCCCTTTCCAGAAAGGGTTTCTCTCACTCTCTTCATTATCCATCCTCTCTTTCTGTCTACTCTAGACCTCATTCTCCAGTTCATGACCCCTATAATTCTCTATTCTCTGTATTCCTCATGGAATCAAAACTTCTAAGGTAGATATTCCAGACTCCACCCCCCCACCCCAGACAGCTTCTGCTGCCACCTTGTAGAGCTCCCTCTGTGGATTCTTCTTTTCTATTGTGCCTCATTCCCAGAATAAAGTCAGTTTCTATGAGTGACCGAAAAAGTGCTGCCCAGTGGTAGGAATCTCCCCACGTGCATACACATGCCTGATCATGCAGCACATTGCTGACCTATAGCCTCCTCCTAGTTACTCCATTTGCCTCAATATTTCCTCCCTGGGTCCATGCTTTCCCATTCTCCCAGGCACTGGTTGCCCCTAAGAGTTCCAACTCTCCTCACTACAAGGTAGGACAAGCACCAAATCCTCTAAACCATATTCAGCACAAGATCCCCATCTCCCTTCATAGGACATCTCCACCCATAGAAGCACTCATTAGTGGAATTCCCTTCCATTACCAAAGCAAGGCCTCCCTCCTACCTCCCCCCTTTTAGTCTTTCCTACCTCCTCCTCTCCTGCTCTGTTGCATATTTTTCTCTTCCTGAGACTACAGGGATCACCTCCTTGTTAACACTCAATCTGACTCAAGAACATCACACGTTAACCTCTACTCCCTGGCTCCCCCTCTCCCCTTTCATCTACTTTCTCAAAACTTTCCTTTGTAGAGGGGATAATCTGGACTTTCCATATGACTCTCCACTGTCCATCTGCATCTCTTTTTGCACTCCACAGAACATGATGTCCTCACACTGAGTATCTCCTAGTGTGCCACTCCCACTTTCCAGCTTCTTTTTCTGCATTGTCTTCCCCATTAGATTATAAGCTCCTTGGTGGCAGGGACTTTTCTTTTTCTTAGCTGTATCCTCAGCACTTAGCAAAGTACTTGGAATGTACTAGACACTTAATAAATGTTTATTGAATTGAATTGAAATTTTATAATATAGCTCCACAAAAACATTGGTTCATCCATAGACAGGGTATTGCAGAGTTGTGTCCATGAAGACCCAGACCCTTTGCTGCTACCCCCACCTGACTTCTGCTTTCATTTCGGTCTCCTTGTGTTCACTTAGAAAGGAATCTCTTCCTGGTCTCTTTGCTGTCACTCTGTTGGTGTTGTCCTTGGCTGCTACATTCATTCATCCCTTTTGCATTTCTGTCGTCTGGGATATTCAAGAAGCAAATAAGTTCTTTGGGTCCGGGGATTTTTTCTAAGACCATTTCAATTGTCTTTTTATTATTGAATGTCCATCTTTTTTCATTTATGGTTAAGCTCCTATTTTTAGAGTAAGTCATCCTGGTATGCATCCTGCACTTCATGGCTCTTCAGAACACATTATTTCATTCCTTTTTGTGTTTTCCGATGGATGCACAAGAGTCTTGAATTAATTAAATTTCCTTTTCTTTGTATTTGAATGTCTTTCGCCTGATTGCTTACAGAATTTGTTGTTTCTGAACTGAATTGTTAAATTCAACCACTATGTGTCTTGAAGTTTGCAGTCTTGGGTTTTTTCTGATGGCAATCTGTGAATTCTTTTAATAGGCGTTTCATTTTTTTACGTCCAGAAGTTCTGCACAGTTCTCATTTATTATTTTCCTATATAATGGTGTTAAGAGATTTCGACCAAAAAATATTTATAGCAGCTCTTGTGTGGTGGCTAAGAATTGGAAATCGAAGGGGTGCCCATCAATTGGGAAATGGCTAAACAAGCTGTGGTATATGATGGTAATGGAATATTATTGTGCTGTAAGAAAGGATGAGCAGGGTGAGTTCAGAAAAACCTGGAAAGACTTACATGAACTGATGTATAGTGAAGTGAATAGAACCAGGAGAACTTAGTACACAGTAACATCAATGTTGTTCACTAAAGAACTGGAAATAACTTAGCTCTTCTCAGCATTACGATGACCTGAGACAATCCCAAAGGACTTATGATGAAGCATGCTATCTGCCTCCAGAGAAAGAACTGATATTGATTGAATACAGAATGAAGCATGTTATGTTTTCCCTTTTGTTTTTTTCTTCTGTTTGAGTCTTTTTGTACAAAATAACTAATGTGGAAATGTTTTACATGATTGAACACGTATAACTTATGGCAGACCGCTCACTATCTCAGGGAAGAGGGAAGGAAAGGGGGGAAAAGGGGACAGAATTTGGAACTCAAGACTTTAAATAAAAATGTCGAAAATTGAAAAAAAAGAGTTTTTGTCCTATAATGTTTTTCTGGAAGGCCTATGACGCTTAAGTTGTCTCTCTATAGCCCATCGTTGAAATCGATAGGTTTTGCTTGCATGGAAAGTGACCAGATTTTCTCTTAATTTCTTTATTGTTTCTTTCCTTCTAGGTTGTCCTTCACTTCTGTATATTTGCATTTCCAATCTACTGTTCTCTCTTTTGTTTCTTTGATAGGATTTGTCATTTCAGATTCCACTTTTTCTGCTCTTCCCATTATTTTTGCTGTGCAGGCCATAAATTCTGCTTTCATAATTCTCACTTCTCTTTTAAACCACTTATTAACAGTGTATTGTGATCCCATATTCTCCTCAAATTCCACAAGATCCTCTGTCTCTGAGTGTCAGATCATTTTCCTTTGTTTGACAATATTTATTCATAGATGCCTGAACTCATTTCTTAAATTTAGAAGCCATATTTCTTTCTGCTGTTAATATTTTCCTTGTTGATTTCTCTAAATATGTTCAAGATCTTTGAGTTTTCTTCTTTCTGAGATCCTTGGTAATTTCAGGGTTTTCCCCTATTGCTCACTATCTAATTTCCTCGCCTCTAATTGTGGTTTCTTTGGGGCCTGGATTTCAAATCATCTCATCTTCCCACACTGGGCAATTCATGGCTCACCAGGCTAGGTCTCTGCCACAATTGACTTTTGGAGGAAATAGAACTGGCCCCATCTATATGCTGAGCTCTTTCCCTCAGACCTGACAGAGTGCCACACAGTGCGCACACACACAAACACACACACACACACACACACACACACACACACACACACACAATCAAGTGTTCTGTCCCATTCCCTCTGTTTCTCAGTTATCTATCTTGGCACCAGCAGGTCAGAAAGCTGCTGCTCTAGTACTATAGGGCTGATTTGTGCAGTCTGCATCTCCTAGGCTCTAAGAGGAGGGGTGGAGTGGGGTGGGGTGCTGAGCTATATTTCAAGCCCAGATATTCATCCTTCCCCTTTCCTTCTGTTTCTGATTCTCCTGCAGAAATGTTTCGCAGTTTAAACCATTGTCCATCATGGTGCTGGCTCTGTAACCCTAGAAAGCTTCTGCCCCAGAGTTATGGCTATCAGCCTGAAGGTGAGATCTCCACAGCACTGATGGGACGTGGGGTCAGGTTCTGTTGCAACACTCTTGTGCCTCACTGATAGTAGCTTAGTAAGAGGTGGGAGAGGGGTCCTGAGTAAGATCAGGATATGCATCAGTTCGTGGTTTGTTTTGGTTTTTTAACCTTCTTTTGGATCCTAGGTGTCCTAAATCATAGAAACAGCTGAAGTTACTTTGTCTTTGGCACATAATTTGTTTTTGAGATGGTTAAGAAGGAGATAGGAGAAAATGTCTAGTCCTCCATCTTGTTAATCACATGACCCAAAAGTCCCAACTTCAGAGTTCTTGATCATAAAGCAGAACACTTATGATGTTGGAAATTAAGGGTGCAACCACCTATGTGCAAATACTGCAGAAGTTTAGGTCATGGGAGTTAAGTACATTAAGGAGCTGGGAGGTAAGGGTTTTTGAGGAACATTAATATAAATGGGCGAGGGATTGACATAGGGGACAAGGGAAAATTGCGAGCCAGGCACTGAGATCACCTTTTAATACACACCCTTTGACATAGTAGTAAATACTTAGAAGAGTTCAGATTGGTGATATTTATCTTAAGGTCAAGTCCAAAGAAGCGGTTGATTAAAGAATGTGTTTCAGGGCAGTGTCTCTATAGAAAAATGGTGCCTTGGTAAGAAGGAGTGAATAGAAGAAGGATGGATGACTTATCCCTGAATCCACAAGAAAAATTCACCTGGGCAGCTGGCCCAGACCCAGAAGACTCAAAGATTGCATGAGTGGGGACCATGACATTGTAATATGTATCCCCATGACCCCTTTGTGATCCCCTCATGATTCCCTGGGTCTCTTTATGAGGTCTGTGCTCTCCCATTACCCATGATCCCCTTCCAGTAATGCCCCTATGATGACCAGAATCTTACATGAGATTCCATGGTTCATTAAGATGCCTTTGACACCCCTCCATGACTCTTGATAATTCCTGCAGCCGCTGAAATATCCCCTATAGCTACTACAACCCCATAACCCTTTCAACTTCATTTTCCCAGTGACTTCTACAACTTGCCCCCTCCCAAAGCCCCATCTCTGGCTTACCATTCTCCTCTTTGTATCCCCAGCCAGCAATGATACAGGGCTCTGAGTCCCTGACCGGAGCATCTGAAGGCCGGGGTAGACAAGCAGTTTGGACCATGTAGCCACAGTAAACAGGCTCATTCATCTCTACCAGAGCGATGTCATTGTTCTCATTCCAAGAGTTGTACTGCTCGTGGAGAAGGATATGGACTGCCCTCCGCTCCTGTGCAAAGGGGCCAGGGATGGATGCTCCTGCCCGCTGTACCTCCCGTACACCAACCACCAGGTGCCACTGACTCAGGTCCCTGAGGAGACAGCCAGTGAAATGAGGGACCAGATTAGCCCCTTACCTCCCTCCCCACCCCCATCTATTAAGGGCACATCCCTTCTTGAGGAATCTCCAGGTTAGTTTCCTGAAGATCTAAGAGAGCTGGGGGGAAGGGGAGAGAGACAGAGGGGAAGCAGAGAGACAGAGGAGAGAGAGAGAGAGAGAGAGAGAGAGAGAGAGAGAGAGAGAGAGAG